AATTGTACATGTGACTTACGTAAATAATTAAAGTTTCGGTTTCCATTTGAGATTGTCCATTTACACTTTCGCCAATCAAAAACAATACATTTAAGATAAACTGTATTGTTTGACAATGTGTTATTTTTAAATATTTCATTTTCACAAAAAAAAAAAGAAAATTGATAATAATAAAAAAAAAATATATTTTTTAAGATATTTATTTTCCTAAATGCACTCAGTTTTAAAATTCTAGTTTGATTCATACACTATTTGACAATAGTGTCGTGTACTCTAAAATAAATTATTTAACCACATGTGCGTGGATGTAACATTACATATTACGTTATTCATATATAGGGTGACTCAACGTAGATAGTTATTGTCATCATAATATATAATGTATTTAATATTGGTATTTAGGACAATTAATATAATAATTTTTTTTTTATTTTACATTTCATACCCTGTGCTTATTCAATGAATTTCATATAGTAAATTTAAAATACTGACCTGATATTATTATTTTTTAATTTTGAAATAGTGACATATTTTCAATTTGTTTAGTTTACTTAAAAATAACATAAATCAAAAAATTATGACCCGTTGATACATTTTCTTTAAATTATGTGTATATGACGAGGACTTAAATAGAATTACAACGGGTACAGATATTTCGGTAAATAAAACTGAAAATAATACGTGGTAATATAATCAATTTTAGATTCTAAACAGAAGCGTGTTCACAAAGGATGATGAAGGTGTCATATTCTTCCTCATGAACTTTGTACGTGAATGTCGCTAATTAAATTATTTTGCTTGAAAAACTCGTCATTTTCTGTCAGGAAAAATACTCTAAAAGTTTTTTGTGTCATGTTGCATGATGACACAGAATTTCCGCTCAGCGTCACGGTACTTTATTTGAAGTTCTTAAATTCCTTACATTCATTACCTACGTTTAATGTTGTACCGATTCTGCTGTTTTTCTTATGTTTTTCCAGGTTTTCCCATTTTTTTTTCCGGTTGTTCACATTTATTGGGAAAATTCTCAGAAGAATCGCAAAATTACCAGTCTTTTTGTATCAATAATCTAAGTATGTTAGTATAAGTTGGCCTTAGTTATGATGTACCTATTTATATATATATATATATGTGTGTGTATTTATCTATTTATATATACAAATTAAGTGAAATTCCTGTATTTCTTCGAATATATTATTAACCTTTGCATCTTGACAACAATTGTTAATTTTAATTATCTCGCTTGTATCATTCCGTTGTTGGCGTTCTCGTTACACAATTTTAAAATTTTATATTTTACATCAAAAGTTTACAGTCACCAATTTACAATAGAAATATTAAAAAATTATAACAAAATAGGTAGGTAAAAAGAAACAAATGTGTGACTATATTCAAATCAGATATGTATACTTATGACGTCAGATATGTACATAGGTACACCTTTTTGTGTCGCGTATGTTTTAATGTTTAAAATTAGTTAAATTATACAAATTAATATATCAAAATTGTTTAGACATATTTGATCAACCAAAATATAATATTTAAAATAGTGATTTTTATTTAAGAAAAAGTCAGGTTGTATTACACAAAATATATGAGTTTGTCATTATATAACACAAAGGAATTTATGACCCAGTAGTCTAGTTTTAAGTCCCACAAAGTCAATTTAAAAATATGTATAGGTGCTGAATTTAACTGTGTTCGTGCACGAGTATTTGTTGGTATTCAATTTAAATTATAAGCAAATTTATATCAATTATCTATATAATTATCTATATAAAATTATCAATGTAATACATCTACATGTAATCTGTCTACAGATTAAACTAAAAAAATTAAAAAAAACTGACATTCTTTGCTTTTCTGGAGGTATAGCATTATTTAGTTTACATGCTGAAAGCAACAATAAGTTATAACAATCAAAAAATGATTCTGAGTTCACCAAACTAATTAAGTTAAGACTAGTATTAATTGTCTTTTTTCCCCTTGTTGCCAAATCAGTTACCTAGGAACCAACAAAAATAAAACTAAGTATGTTATGTGTTGTTAGTTTTTAGTGTAATAGAAAAACTTTTGGGAATCCAGATCGACTAGAACATTTGTTTAAATAAACCGACAAATTCGTAACTTTTAAGGTATTATATAAATGATTTATAGCGTTTTTACTATATCTATCCAAATGAGCTAGTACTAAAAAAAAAAAATAATAATAATAAAGTATTCGTACTGTTTAGTACGATAATTTGTCTTAAAAATAAAATAATAAAGTAAACAAAATTATTAAAATGTTTAATACTCGTAAATAAATATATAAATAAATTAATAAATGCTTCGCCTAGAGTATTTTGATTAATGTATAATACGACTGGTTTCGAATTAAAAATTCATCATCAGGTATATCACAGTCAAAATGTAAAACGCAACTGAATATCAAAATTAAATAAAGAAATACATAGAAAAAAAAATTATTCAGTATTGGTCGTTTAACATAGAATTAATGTATTATAATAGAAGATTATCTTACCCAATTGTTGAACTAATTTATGATAATAACTATATTTTAGCGATGTCCTCTTCTGTAGCAGTTTCATTTATAAACTCAGTTGTGCACTCGTTAGTAAACTCATAATTTACATATTCGTTTGGATAATCCGTTTTCTTCTATAAGAGAAACAGATTCTATTCTCGCGTTTTTCTCTGCGTTCCAAGCTTTCAGAATTTTGATAGTTATCTTTCCTACTTCTTTACGCCTTTTAAGAAATTCTAAACATATTATAAATATAATTAATTATAAGTAATAAATAAAATGGCTAATAAAAACTTTTTCTGAGCAAATGGGAAAAACTGGAAAAAAACATATGAAAACCAGAAAAAATGTAATAAAACCGGGGAAATTAGTATAACATTAAAACCAAGTGTTCACAAATAATAATAGGGTACTTACAAATTTATAACTTCATAACATAAATAAAAAAATAGTACGGACTGAGAATGTAAATGGAGAATATGGAGAGATATTTTTTTCTCAGACCCAAAAACCATACTTAAACTCAATCGTGTATTATTTACCACTGCGGTAGTGCGGCAATCAACACAACAATTGCTTCGACAATCGACTATATCGGTATTTCGAAGTTAATATAATTTTAGGTATATTAGTATTATACGAGTATTCTAAAAAAATACTCAAATCAACAGTCAATAATAACAATTATTCGATGAACGATAACTAAAAACAATATAAAACAAATCACTGGGACAGTGTTCCAACTTATAATTTTAATTTTTGTACAAAATATTACATTTTATATTTTTAATACAAACAATTTTGTAATATAAAAAATATTATGTGTTCAATTTTTTGGTTCTTTTAGAATATATTATATGAAAATGAATGTTTGTAAATGTTCATAAGAACTCTTTTTGGGGGGCTTGGTGAGCTTTACGGGGGGCTTACCCCCCCCACCCCCGGATTTCCGCCAATAGTACGCATTATGTTTTCTATCAGAAATATTGCGCGAATAGAAAAACAACAAGAAACTTGTTTTGTTGTGTTTTGGATCTAGTTGGTGAGTAAGAATGTCGTTTTTATTTCCAGTGTAATCTTGTTAATAATTAAACGAAACCTGGAAAATTAAAGTAAGCACATGAAAGTTTATTGAAATAATGGTTTCATTGTTTTCAATTTTGTTTTTCAGTTGTATTTCAGTTTAAAATATTTGTAGAGACTTGAGTTTTTGACGAAAAAACTTATACCTACTTACCTATTTGCGTTTTACGTATGTGGTAAAACATTTTTTTTTTTTGTTTTTCCCCTCAATAGGTATATTATTATCACGAATATTACGTCTTATCACTGACTCATTGAGTGATAAAACATTTTACATTTTTACTTTATCTTAGATTTTACTTTTTTAATTTTTATAATACTTATACAATTTTTAACAGTTTTGAACTGTGAACTTGTGGATTGTGGTACTTATATAAATTAAAAACAAACGACTTCGTGCACGTTGTTTAACTGTATAAGAAAAAAAGATGAGTAAAAGAAAAGCGCCTAGTGATTTTACAAATCCAAACCATGATTTTTGTGAATTTTTAATGGGTTAGTCGATTTCACAAAGTACTTAAAAAATTTCTGTCTTGCATTGAAATATTTTGAAGAGATTTTTTTTTTCCAGAATTAGCCGATTACGAGAAAAATGTTTCACGTAATATACATAAATACAATGCTTATCGGAAAGCAGCTAGTGCACTAGCTAAACATGGTACACGTGTAAAATCTGGAGATGAAGCAAAAAAACTAGATGGAATTGGTGATAAGATATCAAAAAAAATTGATGAATTCTTAGACACAGGGAAATTAAGAAAACTTGATAATGTATATTTTCTATTTAAATCAACTTTGAATTAGCATGTTAAATGTTGTTTAATGATTTTATATTATATGTTGCAGATAAGAAGTGATGAAGGTTCAGTTGCTATAAAAGAATTAACTAGAGTCAGTGGTATTGGGCCAGCTAAAGCAAAAGACTTGTATGATTCAGGTGTGACAAGTATTGAAATTTTATTAAAAAATCAAGACAAATTAAATCATCATCAAAAATTAGGACTCAAGTACTTATTATTAATTCATTTGTAATTAACACTTGTGTAATAATTTTTATACCATTCTAGATATTTAATAGACTTTGAGCAAAAAATACCAAGAAGTGAAATTGTCGAAGTAGAACAAATCATCAAAAAAACGTTAAGCAACTTAGATTCTAGTTATAAAATTACCATTTGTGGTAGCTACAGGTTAGTCTTAAGTATAACAAAATCTATCGATTTACATGTATACACAGATCGAAACAGTTGTACATTTGAAAATCAAAATTTGGAGTTTGTAATAATATACACTATAATGTCACACGTTATCAGTTGTAGCAGTAGAAATTTTGCTTTTCCAAGTTTTGTTATGTTTCCCATTTATTATATGAAAACATGATTATAAATAGTATATAATACTTAGTATATTGTAATTTTAAAATTAAGGCGTGGAAAAGACTTAAGTGGAGACATTGATACTTTAATTTCTCACCCAACATATACATCTAAGGATTTAAAGAAAAAAAGTGACAAGTTACAAATAATCGTGGATGTTTTAAAAAATAATAATCTAATCACTGAAACTATTTCATTAGGAGAAACAAAGTTTATGGTAACTATTTTTTGTTTAACATATTTTTTAGTTAAAGATTATCATAAGGATATAATATTTGTAATCTTTTAAATAATTGAGTATTTAAACTTGTCTCTTTTAATATAGGTAGAAATGTAATACTAGGATATTATGTAGCTTAACTTTCTATTTTGTTATACCTAATTAAAAATTGTGAATATATTTGTATGGGTTATTATAATAATGATAATAAAAAGTTTTTTTACTTAATAATATTTTGTTTATAACTTTAATATTTAAATCATTGCCTGGTTTAATATACTTTATAATAGACTTTAAAAATGTAAAAATAACATTAACAATTAAATATTATTAAAATAAATCTTAATTATTGAAAAATGTGATATTTAAATTAGGGTGTATGCAAAGTAAATGATCTATCAAGACGATTGGATATTCGCTTAAATCCATATGATCAATTTTATTGTGCTGTTCTGTATTTTACTGGCAGTGATTTGTTTAACAAACAAATGAGAGATCACGCTTTACATCAAGGTTTTACACTTAATGAATATACATTACGACCAATGGGTTCAACAGGTAAAAATGTTATAGAATAATTTATCAACCATAATAATATGAACTATACACAATTAACAGTTAATAGTATAATAATTTTTGTGTTCCTATGTTCTGTATGAAAATTAGGTATACCAGGTGAACCTGTGGAGATAACTAGCGAAGAAGATATATTTGACTATTTAGGTTATCCTTACAAAAAGCCTGAAGAACGTAACTTGTAAGACTATACTTCTAACCTGATTTTTTTTCCTGTAGTCTATTGCTTAGTTTGATTATTCAATTTCTATTAATTAATTAGTTGGTTATAAAGAAACTCGAATATAAATAGTTATCAATTTATTATTATATTGTATTTCTTTTTTGTTTTTCTCTAAATATATTGTTTAATATTAAAATATTTGTATAGTATGAGATGCATATTGTAATAAATTAACATAAGAGTTATTTTACACAAAGTCATGTTATATTGAAAATTATATCTATGATTAGTTTTAAATGTTCAAAATAATTATAGATTTAGTAAAACTATTTAAATATAATTCTAATATATAACTACATTTTAGATATCTACCACTTATTACAAATATAATATGATAGAAAATAAATACATAAATAAAATTATTATAATTATTATTTATTTATATTGATATCCAAAATTTCACTATTCTAAAGGAACATTATTTCTACAACAAGTTATTTAGTGGGCTTTTTAGGATGGTTTTATAAGTAGGTATTTCTGCCTTTTAAAATTTTTTTTTTGATACATACAATAGGTAAGTGTTACATAGGTAACAACTAATAATATATATTTGTATGATTCTAAATTTTAACAGTTTGTGTTTATTTTAGTATAAACATACAAAGAAGTTTTTTTCTACCAGGTATTATTGGACTTTCTAAATAAAAAGCTTGCTCAAATAAAAAATAATAATATTATCCATTGTTATATAGTAAAAAAAAATTAAGAAATTTAAATGTTATTTGATGTATAGCAAAACAAAATAATATATTTACTCTTTTAAGTTAGTAATTGGCTTAATACATTAATTATAGCCCTAAACCGTTTTATACTATTTCTATTTACATACTCTATATATAGAATAACTAAATATACATTATAGGAATAGCATAATTGCTTATAAATAGGGAACGGATTTATATGTACTAAATTTACAAAAAAAACTCTTAAAACTTCATAAAAGCCTTAAAAATTCAAAATAAAAATATTTAAAAGTACAAAAAAGGTGAAGGGGTATAAATTTCCTTTTATATTGTTTCCAACTTATAAAAAATAATTTTTTTACACTGAATAAACAATTATTACAAAGTAATTTTCTTCAAATATGTTTATATGTATTATAAAAAAATAACAAAATACTCTGTGTTAATCATTTATCAGTGTTAAACAATTTATTTAATAAGGTTAAAACCATTAGAGTGAGGGTTTTAAAATTTCTTTATCACTTTTACTATTTTAAATAACTAAATACGCTATTTTGTGGATTTTAAATCCATTCCCTAGTTATGAATCATTAAGTGGAAAGTTTGTTGTGGAAATTTTAGAATGCAATGTGAATAGGTGTAATATATATATATATATATATAATATATATATATATATATATATTATATTTTAAGTACTACAATTATTTAATATTAAGCCAAAAAGTCAAGAATTGCATTTATTTTAAAGTACACGATGTAAGTATGAAATTCTGAAAGTAATAAGCATAATATAATATAATTATTCAAAAGTTATTTGGCGGATATTTCAGCGTTTGGCTTACTGTATGACCACATCCATAATGCTACTACCATGGTACCATGACGTAGTGATATCTCATAAGTGATAACTGTACCACACGATTTGATATGATATTGATATTTTTATTTAATAGTGTTGAGTTAGAAAATAACGATTTGTGATTTTCTTGAATTAGTGAATAATTTTCTTACGTCCAGGTTAAATTTCTCAAGTATAATTCAAGACTATCAGTATTAGTGGTATTGATTTAGTATACTTAATAAGATTACAGATGTTAATTTTTCGAAACTAACTTGTATACAGATTATTTAAACGTAAATACATTATAATGGGGAAAAAACAAATTGCCCAGAGAGTTAAAAACAATTATAAAGTAAGTTGATGTCATTTTTATAGTACAAATGTGAAATGAACATTCTAATGATTTTTCAGCCGTCTAGTAGTGCTAGAGCTCAGTTGTTATTGAGCAGCACTGAAACGTATTCAACAAGTCATGAAAATTTTAAATTACCATTCACAGATGTATTTGATAGCAGTATTAGTCCTGAATTTCAAGTGGTCTTAAAAAAAATGAATAAAAAAGATTCTACTACTAAACTAAAAGTATGAATACATTTAGGTCAAACAAAGTAGGATTTTTTATTTAATTTAAAGTGTTTTTCAGGCACTGAAAGAATTTGCTTCATTATGCGATTCTAATGATGAAGATAATGTTAAAAATATGTCACCACTGTGGATTACCCAGTATGTGAATTTATGCAAGGATAATGAACCGCGTATACGTGAAGGTGCTCAAAAAGCAATGCGATCATATTTAAACCGTGTACAACGAAATGTTGCTCCATATCTCAAAAAATTTTTTGCCCATTGGTTTGTGGCTCAGTATGATACCCACCCACCTACTGCATCTGTTGCAACATCTATGTTTGAGGTTTATAAAAAAATGTTTGATCAAATTTAATATTAAATTAATGACCTTTTTTTTTTCAACCGGCAATACCCCTGTCACTTGGAATTATCATAAAGCAATACTTCTGGTGACGGGTCGCCATCATTTATTATTAAAATAGCATAAAATAAATACGATTTCAGGAAATTAATGACCTGAACTTTATTTTAATTCCAGAACACTTTTCCTTTAAATAAAAGAATTGAAGTAATTGTATTTTGTCAAAAAGAAATTTTGAATTACTTAATTGACAACATCACAAATCCAGCTTTATTGAATATGAAGTAAGTTTCCATAAACAAGTACAGACATTTAAAAAAATTGTATATTTATGTATACTTATTACTTATTTATGAACTACCTAAAATATATGCAAAAATTATCTTTAGAGCTGACTCAGACGAACTAAAGGAAATGCAAATAAGAACTGCTACTAGTTGTTTGTATGCAACAGCAACATTTTTAAACTCTCTTCCCGAAGAACACATTGAAAACATTGAAAGTGAATTGAAATCTACTTTACTTACTAATTCTACCTACTGGAAATTAAATAAACATCTAACACCGAGTGTATGTTATAAAATGTATTTTTAAATTTTTATTACAAAATTATACTTAAATTCATAGGTTCGACAAGCCTGGTATACTTTATTACATTCCATGTTGTTCAAATTACAAAGGTTTTTACAAAATGAGTGTAAAAAAGTGGGTTTTGCTGTATTCGATAATGTTGATGAAATTAATGTCACTGTGTCATTGGTGATTTGGAAAAACATTATACTTATTTTATCAAAACCTGAAGTAATAATTATATAATTTTAAATTAAATAATGTATTATAAATTACTTTTTTATAATACAGTTGAAAGATTTTTGGTTACAATCAAATGCTGAGAAAGTCTTCCTTCCAAAACTGTGGAAAGTTTTGTCTTGTTCAAAAGGATGCATTTCATCTGTATATGAAAATTTATTGGAATTATGTAAAAATTGTCCAGTTATGAATAGCATTACTATCATGGAATTTCACTTGAAGTGTATAATTTCAATTATAGAAGGGTAATAATTAAAAATAATTTTCGAATAATTATTATTATATTGATTTATCTTTTAGATTAGAAAAAATGTCTGGACGTTTTGACCGTACTAATTTTGTGGCTGGCGTTGAATCTCTTTTCAATTTTGTTACTTATGTTTTGAGTAAAAATAGTGAAAATAAATCATTCGTGAATAAAGTGATTTTAGAGGTACATCGTTTTTATTAATTTAAACTTGTTTTTATTAGATATTAATATAAATATACATTTTCAATAGGTTTTAAATTTGGTGAAGTTTACTCTAACTGGAAAATTAGCCAAAACCATGACACCGCCAGTCATATCTCATTTAGCTAAGTTTCTTGAAACATTGACCAATGACAACATGTTGTATAATTTAAAGAGTACTATTTGGAACTATTTAATTACATTATTAACTGGAAATAGACTTGATAAAGAAATCATTTTTGATAATATATTAAGTCAGCTGCAAGTACATTTAATTGTGTTAAATCATTTGAGAAGTCCAGAAGTAAAAAAAATAAAAAGTTTAAGAGTTACATTTGAAAAACCACAAGAAGTTATTAGCCTGGCAAAACCAAACATTAGTGAAGATTATAAAACTGATTTGGCAAATTTTGTTAATATTGTTTTACAGTTTTATTTAAATAAAACCAAGTGCCCTGAAGTAGGACATATGTACGCTAACCATGTATGCCAAGTATTATCAGCATTCAAGAATTATGGTATTGATAAAAAATTATCTCAGACTTTACCAGTGCTAGATGATAAAACTTCATCTCCGTCATTTAGATTGTATAAAAGTTACATCAAAACATGGATAAATGATGAAAAAGTATTTGTTTATAATACAATATCAGTAATTGTTGGATTGTTGGATGTTATTGAGAATGAGGAAGAACGATTAATTATGATGAATGATTTAAATTTGGTAATTAAAACTATTTTTTAATAATTGAAAAATTAAAATTGTGCATTATGTTTTGATTTTAGTTTGGATTAAATATTGTCCTCAAAGAAATAATGAAGTATATTAGTAATGGGAATACATTACCTATAGTAATTTGCAATTGGTTAGAGACAGTTCCACTGCAAGATGAGTTTAAAAAGTTTATATCTATTGATGTAGATGAAAATAAATCAGATATACTCATTAATTGTTTAAAATTGAAAGGTGATTATTTGTAGTCTTGTGGAAACTTGGGTTTAATAAGATTTTTAATTTTTTTTTTTTTTTTTTTCATAGAAAATACTGTGTGCGAGAAGTGGACAAAAGTGCTTTTAAAAACTGTGCAAATAAATCCCACTTCTCCATTAGTCATTATGTTGAGACAAATATTTGAGAAAAATTTAAGTGACCATTCGTTTGTCAATTCTCATCTTGATCTCATATTTAACACAATGGAATGCTTAATTGATAAGTGGTTAATTAATACCCAAAATGGTGACTGCAGAGACCAATATGAACTTTGTGAAACTTGGAAGCTCGTGTTGAAGAATATGTTGGATACACACGGCAACGAAGTAGTGAAAAGATGTAGTTTAGTAGTTAAAAATTATGTACAAAATATTGTAGATGTTGATATAGAGTATGTTGATAATGCAGTGAATCAATTTGTTGAAGATTTTATATCGAGTACCAAACAGAATGATTTGCTTCTTAAATTTTTGTATGAATCGCTAAAATGTGCAAATAACACTGATCACTCAAAAGCAATTAGATGTTGTGAATTGGCATCCTATGTTGATGGATCATTATTTTACACAAATAAAAATGAAAACTTCATAGATACAAGTGGCGAATGCTTTGATACAGCATATTCTTTATATTCCCACATGTATATATTTATAAAACAGATTTTAAAATTCTACACAGAATATGAACAACTTCCTGAACAATCTGACAATGTAAATGAAGAATTTGTCATTATTATGGCCAATACAATATGCAATGTAAATGTGGTTGCTGATATATTGAAATACTTTTCAAATGTGAGTATTATAATATATATATATAAGGTGACTCATTGAGCGTACCATCCCATTTTTTGATTAAATTTTGCATGTATTCAAATTCTGATTTTTGGGGTAAAGTAGAGGAGTACCATTTGTGTGGTGGCACAGCACGTGGCGTTTTATTAGTGCTCAACTATTCTCCCCTTACATAAACTTAAAAGTAAAATATCTCGTTAACGGGTCAAAGGAAATTTAAAATGTTTTTAAAGTAATATTCTATCTGTTTATAGAATTTTTAATATAGGTTCTTATTTGAAAATGTTAACTTTAACTACACTTAAAAATTTCAAAAATTAGAATTTCAATACATGCAAAATTTAACCAAAAAAATTAGTGAATCATCCTATATATATATATATATATATTATATACAGAGTAATCAGAAATATAAGCGTTCCCATCGCAACCTTAAAACATTCAGTGTTTTTAAAAAAAACTAATGTTATTATTTTGTATTAATAATAACTAATTTTATTATTTCATATAATTTAGAGAAAATATTGTTGTGAAATCAACAGTATTGTGTTGGAGAACATTATAACTAATATTGCAGTACTTTTACAATCTCAATCACAAAGTGTTGCTTTTGACATCATAAATAAAATAATTGAAAAGTAAGTACTTGGTTCATTTTTATGGTTTATAAAATTGAAAATAAATTATGTATTCTATTAAATTCTTATTTCAGAACAATTAATGATGGTCCATATTGGAGTAAATCATTACAATTTGCCTTAGACATGTTATCAGTGTCCAATGAAGAATTAATCACTCTATATAACTCCATTAGTGTTAAATACAATGACAGTCCAAATTTTATACACATAATTCAGGTGAAATTATTTTTATTATCTGACTATTGACTTGCTTGAACAAAAAATTATGTTATGGTTTGTTTCATATTTTATTGTTGATTTTTGTAATAAGCATAGGATACAGGTTTCTGTAAATCTAACAGAGAAAAATAAAATAAAACACTGGTCCATACTTTTAAATATTAATTATTTATTTATAATATATATACAGGCTTGCGCTAACAATGGTATTAGCAGAACAATTTTGTATGAATAAAGTATGTTAGTAATATTTTAGTAAAATATAATAAGTATGATTGAGTACAATATAATAATAATGTAAGAAAAAATAAAAATATTAAGACAAATTAAAAAGGCTTTATGCATCAAATCAAATCATTTCAAATACAAATTAAATGAGGGTTTATACATTGGCAAGCTTCATAATGCAGCTTATAGGCTCATTACTAAGATAGTTGGCGGTATACAAATATATGAAAAATGGGTTTTAATTGCGAGTGCTTCAGGCTGCTATTTTTAATTTAATGAAAGGGAGGAAGGTATGAGCATCCATGGCACCAGATAAAAGTCTTTGGAGGAATACAATGTTAAGAGTATATCTACGATCTGCTAAGAATATAAGATAGAGCTTAATGAGGATAGGACTATAATCATGGGAAGGGCAGATGACATTTAACATATAGCTTGCTAACAATAAAAAGTTTCATTGGACACATTCTAATGCAGACCTATCAGCAGCTGTCCATGAATCTACCTAACCTAACTGAGCCATATTTGAGTATCTGTCTGATAAGTACACAGTATAGTGACTTGATCGAATTAGAAAGCTTTAATTCAATAGCAATTCTTTTAATGAATCCTAACAACTTAAGGGTCTTACAAGTTATCGTATTGATAAGCGTTTTGGGATTAAGAGAAGGGGAAAACGTTAAGCCAAGATCATGAACAGTTTGACCAGCAGAATGAAGACATAAGAAAACACAACTGGGAATTGACATCTAGTGAAGGTCATTTTATAGAATTTAAATAAATTAAGCTCTAAACCAAGTGTATTAATCCATAATGAGAAACTGTCAAGGATGATCTGGAGCCATAAACAGACATCAAGCAACGTAATTCTGGAATGAAGTTTCATATCATCAGCCAAGCACAAAATTTAGAGAGCTTTGAAAGAAGGTGCGAGCACTATTTATAAATAGAGAAAGGAGTAAAAGTGAAAGATGACCTTGAGGTATTCCAGAGACCGTGTAGAAAACATAGGACTTAGAATTAAATAGCTTGACCCATTGAGACCTTTTATCTAAGAAGGAACTAAATCAAGATAAAAGTGGATCGCCTATTCCTGATGAATGTAGTATATCTATTAGCACAGTGTGGTTTACCAAATCGAAGGCTTCAGAAAAATCTGTATAAATAATATCAACCTGAGCACTGTCTTTTAATATATCAAATATACAGTTGCAGAAAGTTAGGTTACATATAATGGTCAAACGACCAAGACAAAGTCCATGCTGCTTGTTCATAAGAATGGAATTAATTGCCGGTTGGATTGAATCAAGAATAAGTGTCTCAAACATTTTGGTAATGTGAGAAAGGATGGAAATTGGCTTGTAGTACTTAACATTAGTAGGATTAGCGGCTTTTAAGGTGCGTGTAATAGACTAATTTTCCAAACATCTGGAAAACAGCCTTCATCAAGCGATTGACGAATAAAGATCCAAAGAAGAAAGTAAATTACAAATCTAAGATTAAAAATTAAGTTACCAGACACGCTATCAGAGCCAATATTTGAAATCATAAATAATTTAAAATCAAAAACAATATTTTAAAATGGGGTTTTTCATTAAAATGAGTAAATCAATAAAATTGTTTGTTTTGTTATTCAAATAATATCTTTTTTTGTACCTACTAAAAAATTATAATCATTGTTAAACAAATGTCAAATTAACAATGAATTATTGTAAAATTTCTGTATATATTTTCTAGATTTTTGTGAGTTTTTGCGGTATGAGCAATTTGGAGTATGATCATATTTCACTGGCCAATACACGATGTGTTTGGAACATACACTTTAGAAATACGACTAATAGCGAAACTATTTCTCAGATGCGCAAAGTGCTAGACTCTGATGATAAATTGCTCACCAGTGATGCTGAGTGAGTGTTGGAAGAGAAGAAATAGATATTTCTGTTGTTTGGTGATAATACGTTTTGTGTATGTTGTAGGTGTTTAACTGAAGAAAAGAAGACTATTGAAACAATACGTAACATTGAGTTTTTAAATTTGGTGTTTCTCTGTACAGACGATGCATTGATGATTTTAAAATATAGTAAAATAATATTTGATCGTCTAGAATGTTTGATGTTAACCCTTACCAGTGTGGAAGATTTTGACTGCAAAACATATTTACCTATTGGAGTAATTACTGCATTGGTTGGTTCATTATTTGGGAAGTTGGTGAAATTCTACCATGAAGAGGTTTATAAACATGTACAAGAGAGCAACCAAAACCTAAGTGTATTTAGATCAGATACAAAAATTTTACGAGATTGTATAATAAAAATATGGATCAATTTATCAAAAAATTGCAACAGTTGTATTCATGAATTGGTATTGGAATCACTCAGCGAATGCATAGAATACTTGGAACTGGAGGAAATGGACCAAAAAGATTTATTCAGTCTTTGTTCTGACTTGATCAATTCAGACTATTATCCAATCGAAATCACAGCATATAATATTCTGGACAGGTTTGTTTGTAATAATAAATATCATATTCTGCATTCATTATTTTTGTGTTTTAGATTCTAAGTACAGCTAGGAACATATTTATTTATCAATGTTTTTTTTTTCTTTTTCTCTCCTTTATATAGCTAAAGGAGCTTTATTTACTCTTCTACCAGAAATATTGCTCTAATTTTCAAGTGTAATATCTTTTCTAAAAGCAAATTGTACCTAGTAGGTGCATTGGGAGGATGTTTTTTTTTCTTTATTTTACTTAATAATTGAAAAAAAAACATGAAAGTTAATGAGAATTACACATTAAAGTATTGTTTAATTATTTTCTATTTAGTTTTTTTTTTTTTCATGATAAATTCAAAATAATTAGACAACTTTTGATCTATTTATAAACATTTTAAATTTTTGAATCTGGATATT